AAGCCTAATGAACTACTTCCTAAAGACGACATGGATAGCTGATGAGTGGAAGATTGCTAAAATTATATCACTGCTTAAAAAACAAGGAGCTGGATATAATATCGACAGTATAAGACCAATAGCATTAACATCAAATGCAGTGAAACTTATTGAAAGGGTCCTTTATGGTTGTTTAATAATATTTGTAAATGACCAACAGCTGTTGAGCACTAGGCAAATTGGCTTTAGATCTGGACATTCAATCTGGAATGCGCACGTAGACCTTGAAAGTCGGGTTCACATTGCCCGGCATAAAAAACAGTACGCTGCGTAAATTACCTCAGACATCAATAAAGCATACAAAAGTGTCGAACATTCTGTGGTAATAAATTGTTTACGTTGCCATGGACTTCCTTTTTATATCGTAGCATGGGTGACAGAATTTTTAAAGGAAAGGAAGTTTTACTGCGTTAAAGATGGCTTTTCTTCCCTCAAGCACAAGCAAATCCAAGGCGTACCACAGTGATCAGTACTTTCACCAGCATTACTCAACACCTTGATGTGTACTATTCCTATTCGATCAGGGGTGCAGACTTATGTTTATGTGGACGACATTGCTTTCTTAGTATGGTTCCTGACATACATCGCCTTTACGAAACTATACAGTCCTACTTGAGTGAACTTGAGAAGTGGCTAGATGGACTGCAGTCAAGTCTTAATACCAATAAGTGTGCTATTTTAGTTTTTCTGAATAACGATCCCATGAGAATATCTCTGACTTACAAGCTGCAGGATATCTCGCAAGTGGAATCGTTAAAATACCTCGGAATAATATATAACGAACCACTAAAAAATATATCACAACAAACGGAGCATCAGCAATGGGTGTATTGCGCAGGCTGAGCTGCCGCAGATCGGGTATGAAGAGAAAAGCACTTTTGATGGTCTACAAAACGTACGTACGACTGATATTGGGATTCGGCTGTCTTATTTTTTCCGGTGCGCCAGCATACTAGCTTCGGCCACTAGTCCTATTAGAGCAAGAGGCTTCACGGCTGTGCTTAGGCCTTCCAAAATATGTGGCGAATGCAGTATTATACGTGGAAGCGAGACAACACCCCTGTTTTAACCGATTTAACCTACTTACGGTGCAGACTTTCTTACTGTTGTAGGACACACTGTCTAACCATACTCAAATGATTTTCATCTCCAATCACGATATATTTTTCTCCGAGCACTGGCGTAAATTCCGCAAGCCACAAATTATATATGCACACACATTACTCGATTCCCTGAATGTACAAATTCGTGATGTGCGTCCTCTGACCATGGAACCTAAATTCACCAACATTGTCTACCACGATATTTTTCCGAACTACGTCAAATATTACCTCAGGGGATTTTAAATGACCTATTACAAGAGCATCCAAACAATCTCCCAACGAATGTGGTTATTGCAACAGATGCATCCCAAACTGCGGAAAAAGCTGGCACAGAAATATCCTGCCCTTAACCTGACTGGTCTTTTTTCTTTACGACTGCCAGATTTTATACCAGTTTTTACAGCTGAATTAATGGCCATTATATTTGCTCTTTGAAAGTTACCCAGTTTAAATACAGTAGTTGCAATCATCACTGACTCATATACGTGTGTTCTTCTCTCTCTGCATCTGGTGAAACGCCTCTTCTAAAGCTTTTCAAAATACCAGTTCCAGCGCACCTACAATGTCTCCACTTCATTTGGGTACCAGGACACAAGGGGTTGTTTTAAAACGACAGTGCTGATTCTTTAGCGAAGGCGGCGCTTTTGATGACAATCATTCCAATTTTCCCATGGGCAACATACATTACGATTGCACGATTCTACACTTTAACTTTCGAAAAATGTTCAACCTAACTTTCAAAAATTATAACCATCTGATATTTTCCTGGAAAGGATGAGATATCGCGGTCTAGAATGATGGAAGGGGCAATCACCAAACATTCCTGCCGGGTTACCTCATCAACCTTTACCTGCATGAGCAGGTTAAGCGTTGTCTCCTCTGTGTATCTTCTGCAAGGAGGAGGAAACAATCAATCATTACTTTCTATCCTCTAGCCTGTATACGTCATTGAGAAGAAGATTCACAGCACCACCTCTTCGAAACTTGGGTCTGGAATCATTCGATTCAGTTGTTCTATTATTCGGCGCCTCTACTCTGCGCTACAGTCACAGGGATGTTTACTACGCCATAGTGGAATTTATTATTCAGACTAAAAGAATATAAAGCTAAATTCTTCATTTTATTAGAGATTTATATATTACTATTCAGCAATTATTTCTGGTGTAACCTATCCGTAGCATATACAAGTAGTATAGCGAAGAAAGAAAAAAAAAGTCACCTAACACTTAGCCAATTCCCTGCATTGGGTAAGAGCCATAAGATGAAAAGAAGAAGAAGAAGAAGAAGACGAAGAAGAAAAAGAAAAAGAAGAAGAAGAAGAGAGAAGGAAGAAGAAGAAGAAGAAGAAGAAGAAGAAGAAGAAGAAGAAGAAGAAGAAGAAGAAGAAGAAGAAGAAGAAGAAGAAGAAGAAGAAGAAGAAGAAGAAGAAGAAGAAGAAGAAGAAGAAGAAGAAGAAGAAGAAGAAGAAGATGTTCGACCACTGATTCTGTTAGAACGTGAATCATTACGCTTATGCCCAGGGCTACCCAAATAGGTTGCGAACAATATCCTATAGGGAGAATCTCGCCTGCCTTCTCTTATCAAAAGATTTCATATTCTAACAGTACGAACATTGCCTAAAATTTACGCATCACCTCAGAGGAGGTCACAGTATGTGTTCATTAACCAGCAGAACTCATTTTCCAACCACCGAAGGTCTAAACTACGGTGCCCTCAAGTATATATACAGAAACTTTTGAACCCCTTAAGATTTAACCTTTCGAAAATACTTGTACTCAACACTGTAGATGCAATTACGTTTGTAATTGACGATATATATTCCAAGAATGCAAAAAATTACCATATCAGTATATAAATGGCATTTTGGAAGATCATTTGGCCAATCTAGAAACATCCATTGTGATAGCGAGTGACGCTTCTGTTTATGAAGAGAAGGCTCGCGTAGGAATCGCATAATTCTCTCTAGATTGGGCTTTCTCAAGTGGATTACATGACTTTACCTGTATTTACCAAGTTGAGCTAATGGAAATAGTCCTAGCATTGCGTAAACTGCCCCAAAATCTATAAGCGGGGATTGCTTTAACAGAATGTCTTTTGGTCTGTTCTGCCTTAAGTTCACCAACAATTTCACGTACCTTCGAAACTTTCTACTCGCTCATTCCTAGACATGAGTGACTCGTTCGACTGGCTTGGGTACCAGGCCTTAGAGGTTTAGCTCTCAATGAGCATGTAGATGCAATGGCTGCGTCTTCCCTCGATTGCCCTGTTTTACCTATTTTGCCTATTTCGGAATATATCACAGCAGCACGCTTTGAAAAACGCACAGTGGCGAATAAATTTGAAAAATCTCCTTTGTTTTTATCAGACTATCGACACCTAAAGTTCCCTTGGAAAAACAAGTGGTGTTCATCAAGAAAAAAAGAAATAGTAATTACAAGGCTGCGTTGTCCAGTCTTTTCGTTGAACTTTTACCTTCACCGGTTGGGTCTGGCACAGTCGCCTTTGTGCCTTTATTGTAATGAGAGGGAATAGAGCACTTCTTCTTGTCATGACGAAAACTCAAAAGTCAAAGGAAAAGACCATTTGAAGAACCCATACAAAAGTTGGACTTAAACTTGACACTTCCGGTGAATCTTTCATTTGGCGCAGTCGCATTTGGTTTTAGCCACATTAACGTTTTTAGCGCTGTTACAAATATTCTACTAGAATCTGAATGAATGAATTGCTAAACATCGGTAAATTCACTTGTTTTATGTATAAAGTTTTGATCTTTTTTGTGTGTATGATTATGATGTTTTCCTTTTCAAGGTTTTTTGTTTGCTTAAAATTTAACACCTTTAAATTATTACCTAAATTACCTAGTTAATCCAAGCCTCCCTTTCAAGAAGTGAATTAATTGAAAAAGCAAGGCACCGTCGTATTCATTGCCGATCCCCCTAGGTGGGTTGTACCAAAGTGTGGAGGAACCAAACAACCAACAAAGTATTTCGATGGTCATCCTCTATAAGGACCGAGATCGCAGTTACCAAAATACGATGCCTAGTCCTCCCACTGAAATTTTACCTACACAGGTCTGGTATGGTACAGTAACCTTTATGCCTGCAATGCACTGAGTGTGAGTCTCTTCATCATTTCTCTCCAACGTGCAGATTACTCACCAATCAATGTAAAAGACTTCTAGACGAACCACTTCGAAGGTTGACATTAAATGTATTCCTTTCGGTACTTCTTTCCTTTGGGGTTACCGTGCTAGGTTTTAGCCACAGGAGTGTTTGCGAAGCCGTTTGCGATTTCCTTCGGGAGACGAGAAGAATATAATTATAAGTTCATCGTTGAAACATTATCAAAATCAAGGATATTTATTAAAAACCTAACATTTTGAATTAATGAACATTTTCTTTTAAATAGCAAGACACCGCTCCGTCGTGGCCGATCCCCCATGGTGGGTAGCGCCAGAATGATAGGAACAAACAAAGTGTATAGCGGATGCCACACTTCTCAGAAGAATGACGGAGGATAGCGTAGCGAATTGCAGCCTATATTACCCAGAAATTACCATTAGTATTGCCAAAGTGGGTACCAAGCAAGTGTGCTTGTACCAGTTATCCGATGAGCGTTTAGAAAAGGCTCTGAAATGCCACTCTTGTAGCTTTCGCTTTGACTGTGCTGCGCCTTCCGCGCTAGCCTGGAAGTTTTTTTTTAATTTCTTTTCAATTCTGCGGCTGCTTCGGGTCTACGCTTTCGGTAAACACATGCGGCGGTCCACTGGAAATAAGCATGTAACAGCTCCCCTGTTCAAACTTCTTCCCCTACCAGCGAGTCAAACTATACGTGCCGCTATACACTTATAGCACTCACCACCAATCGACGAAGACGAAGCTTGTCAGCGATGTTCTCCAGAGCCGGTCGCTGCAAGCTTGTTGCTCCAATGAGCCCTGCGTCAAAATTTGTAGCCGTTGCGCTGCTATTGCTCCTGACGTGAGAAAGAACAGAAACTCGTGCAAACCTTCGCAAATGCTGCTAATGTCCCGGCGCCCGAATTCCGGGCAGTGAAGCAGGTCGTGGTAGAGTGTCGGTGTTCCCTGTAACGTTGTGCACCTGCGTGAGAAAAAATACACTGCCTAATTGTCGCTCACAATAACTTCATGTGAACCTGAACGTTCGTGTTTAATAAAAGAAACCAATTCACTGCCATAAATGAAACGATTATATACGATTCTTTCTTGTTTACTAATGCTGAAATCTGGTAATATTCAACAATTGTCCATTCGAAAAGTTTATGCGGGGGTAGGGATGAAGAAAGCCAACCAGCTTTGCCGTTTCGCTGAACCATGACATGCTATAGGAGTTACAAACTGCATACACATACATTACTCGTACGCAAGACGCGCTAAACATTATTGTAGCAATGAAATCAAACACTCACAATATGCAATACAGAACATATAGGGAAAGTAATTACGACAATTCAAAACCACCATAAGTAAACGAAAATAGAGTCGTTAGCCTACGCAATGTCTTGAGATCGCTACCTGCCACTACACAAAGTTCATCTGAACAGGTGAAAAAAAAAGTTCATCTCACTAGTATTGTGACTGGCCTACGGGCCTCTCGTCCATTCTCGCAATCACTGCTGAATGGGGCTGAATAGATCGTCGCCGCGCCCTCCTTCACGCTGCCAGTGTCTTCTGTTAAGCCTTGATTGTCTCCCTCAGTACATTCATCTTAGTTCTTTTACTTTTCTTCCTGATTCTACAATCCGTGCCTCTATGAAATGTAATCTCATCGACTATAGGCACTATATATTCGCACATAACTTCCTTTAAGGGGCGAAGCCATGTTTGCCGTCTTCCGTCGATGACCATAATGCTGATGACGATGAAGAGCAAGCGCATTCCAGGCTACATCGTCTCTTTTTACCATCACAGCACAGCACATCCGAGGTATGCACTATACATGATGGCGATGACGATGAAAATGAAGCAGCCACTATGTCAGTCATCATCCCGCTGAAAAGTGAGGCACCCCATACACATCTGTAAGGCAATATGTGTACTTTGTGCTGTGGCTGCTGACGATGAAGAAGAAAGACGTTCCAGACAACAAGTTGTCTTTCTGCCTTGAAATAAAGATAATAGAAACGAGCTCTCACCAGCGAAGCTGCAGCGGCACAGGAACATCGCCAAGCCGATCCGAAACGTATATTATGATACAATCATTTAATAATCGATTTCTTGACGTCCTCTGCCTCGAAAAAACAGTGCGTGCGGCGGGCTTTGTTGGGATTTAAAGGCGTGAGCATAAGTGTTCAGAACACGGGATCGCCTTGCCGGAGGCATTTATGCGCTCTCTGGCGACGAGACGCCTCCTGCGGTGCGAGTGAGCGTTCCGTCGTATCAGTTGGCCTCCCATGTCACTCTCTCCGACGGGCTCATAGCCAAAATGACAACTGGGTGTCGCTGTTTTTGCATTATTAAATTTGTGCTGTTGTTGTTCTTTTAGGGGCAAAGCTCCTTATAGGGGCAACCGTTCGTCCCTCGTAGCCGTTGTAGTAGTGTGTAAAAAGTATAACATTTTGACCTCCAAGGTGGTGCCGGTGAGGAATTTCTTCTGTGCGCTGTTGAACAATAAAATATAGTGCCTATTGTACATGTCAAAGACTGCTAAGGGTAAATGAGAGACAGGAGAACTCGGTTTTTAGTTAACGCGCACGCTGCGAATTTTTCATTGTTCGACAACGCACAGAAGACAAGAAAGGGTTGCCACGTTATACTCGCTGGGCGTAACCTTCTAGGTTTTAGAAAGGTTTAGCGAGCGTTCGGCCGCAGTGCCATGAATAAAGTGAACTAGTATATACCAAGAACTCGAGGTGGTTAAAGGTGGGAAGTAGACACGAAGCGCAAGCCATTAGAAAGTGTGCGTGTGCCTCCTCTCGTTCAGTCCTTGGAATGTCCGCTGGATGGCAGTGCTTCTATATGAGGAATATATGATGAAAAGATGCGAGATGGTGGTACTTGGAGTGTTGAATAGGTGGAAGAACGGACACACACAGAGATGCATAGACGAACGCCCGGATGGCTGCACGGATGGATGGACGCATGGACGGACGCAGGAGCGGATGCATGGACGAAAGCAGGGACGGACACACAGATGAACGTGTGGACGCACAGACGGGAGGATGGACGCACGGGCGGCCACACAGACGCACGCATGGATGGACGGAAGCAAGAACGAAATCCATCATTTCCTTCGTGGATATGATGCCCTTGTTTCTTTTAAATGCGAAGCATTTCTTAGCGAACTTCGGCGACTTTGAGCGTATCTATCTATCTATCTATCTATCTATCTATCTATCTATCTATCTATCTATCTATCTATCTATCTATCTATCTATCTATCTATCTATCTATCTATCTATCTATCTATCTATCTAGCAGCCTACGACTTTTAGCTCTTTCGGCCGTATAGATAATGGTATTGATACTAAACTTGGTGTGGCATAATATGACTACATGACGAGCATATTTGACTAGTCATAGGATCAAAAACATAACATGCATGTAATGAATGTCATGATTCACGTTTTATGGTGTTGCTGCTCTTGCGGTGGTTTTGTTCACATCACGTTTATTTATTTATTTATTTATTCAAAATACCTTACAGACCCAAGAGGGCATTGTGTAAAGGGGAGCTTAAAAGGAATACATACATGAATTGGTACAATTTCCATACAAACAATTACATGAACTAAATGTCAATTATTATATGAGTCCTAACAGGAATAACAATGGCAAAATATTAATAATAGTTTTAATAGGAATAGAACGGCAATGAACATCAGATGAGTATACGCGTGTGATAATGACGTAAAACAAGCTAGAAAAACAAGCGCAAATTGTGAAAAAACGTTCCATTAGGCAAAACTTGTTCCAAACTGGTACGTTGCCACCGTACGCCAGGCGCCGGTCCTGCCGTGTACTCGCAGGCACGCTGCGTTGCCTTGACGCATGCGCTTTCAGCGCGTCCGGCATACCTCTGTCTCAAAAAAGACGCAGACGCAGTGCTGTTTAGATAACGCATTGGCACCAATTGCAATTGATTGATTTGTGGGGTTGAACGTCCCAAAGCCACGATTTGATTATGAGAGACGCCGTAGTGGAGGGCTCCGGAAATTTTGACCACCTGGGGTTCTTTAACGTGCACACAAATCTGCGTACACGGGCCTACAACATTTCCGCCTTCATGGCACCAATTGCAGATTGTGGAATTTCGCGCCGGTTGTCGTCTGGGCCGCGTCTACAGACGCTGATCTCGACGGTTGCGCTTGGCGTCAGACTATAGAGTGCTCACGTTTTTCTAACCTAGCATCGCTGTGCCCAGCGTACGCGCGTCAACGTTACGTTGGAGTATATTGGGCCCTTCGTAATGCACTTGAGGTCGTTTCGCTTGCTCCACATATACTAAATTTGGTGTTACATGTCATCAATACATGACGAAGTTATATGACTGTTGCAAACGTGATAACCATGAGACGCGTGTCATGTAAGAACGTGACAACAGACCACGCTCATAGAGTGCTCGCGGCCGTCTCGCTAGCTCTAAATATACTAAATATGGTATCACGTGTCGTGAATAGATGACGAACGACACAAACATGATAATCATGACACGGAAGCCCTGTAATGCAAATTTACCTCCACCTCGTAACGTTGTGGTGATTTGAAATTGACATATCTACCTTACTCAATCCCGCTTCTCATATAATCGATTCCATAGTACGTGGGATCTGCCATTTTTTTTAGAATTGTGGCTGCAACGACGCTGGTTCCAGCGCAGGGCTCGCGCATTGATTTGTACCGGTTTATTAGCATAATGATGAAACAAGCACACTAAGTACAGACACATAGTTAAAAATAGTTCAAGGGTAATTATATATAATTCAGTTTAACGAGACAATCATTCGTGATCACTCATTATTATCTTCCTCAGCTTTAATTTTCTGAGCTCATAACAATTCCACATCAATGAATTGCATTGTGTTTGATGGGAACTACTTGGGTGGTGGTGAAAACATTTAATAACCATTAAATGGTTACAGAGAGGTGATTGGGTTGGGGCCTTATTGGCCTCCTACCCTCACAGCACTAGGTGGAACCCCTATTCCGGGGCTCCATTGGCAAGCAACGCCGCCCGCGCACGTTGAACCAGAGCCTCTTGGGCCTTCAGGTCTTGACAGCCGAGCAGGGCCGCCTCCCAGTCCTCTCTCGTGGGATTGGGGTTGGGGGGGATAGATGGATTAGACTGGCACGCCCAGACAATGTGAAAGGTGTCAGCCACCTCACCACAGAACTGGCACGTGCCATCAAAGGATGAATTGAAATGTTTTAGCACCGCCGGGCACAGTACAGTATTGGTAAACAGTTTTAAAAGGAGGCGCTCGTCAGCGCGATGCAGTCCCTTACAAGGGTCTGGATAGCGCCGGTGCTCCTCCTTGTAGTAACTGGTAATATCTTTGAATGAAAGGGCCGAATTGTTTGATTGCGAGTAGGCTTCCAAAGACAGGGAGATAGCCCGGGAAGAGAGTGCGCGGGCGGCCTGATCGGCCTGTTCGTTACCCCTGAGTCCTTGGTGACCGGGTGCCCAAACCAGATTTCGCGGAGTTGGATTAAGGTATCGGCAGCTAGGTTCCAGTATGCGCTAAGCAAGCGGTGAAGCCCACCCTAGCTGATAGTTCCGACAGGCCCCTCGTGAGTCGGTGATGATATGTTTAGAAGAGGGATAGGTGAGAGCCAGAGCGATGGCAACCTCCTCCGCGTGTGTTGCGCTGTAGGCTTTGAAAGTGAGCCCGTTTACGGTGTTTGCGTTGTGTATGACTGCGGCAGTATACCACCCCCATGGTGCGGGCCGGCAACGTCCACGTAGCACACGTGTTCCTCTTGACCAAAGTGTCGCTGCAACGCTTCCGCGCGCGCCTGGCGGCGACCACTGTGGTTTTCTTTGGACATGTTGCGGGGAAGGGGTCGGACCCGGAGGGCGCGTCTCCAAGGTTCTGGCACTCTCACCCTTTTCTCAATATAGTAATCGTGTTTGATGTGTAT